ACACTTGTGTTTATCATGAAGAATAATTGTTAGCTTGAGGTGTGATTATGTGATTTATGTATATCTTTCATTCTGAAAGCATTTGAACTTCCTATTTAGAATTGGTGAATATTTGAAATTCAGGCCCATTATCACTGAGTGATGGGGGGCATCGTTGTAGCTAAGGATAGCAGTAGCTGATATTCCTTAATGAAAGAAATATGCTATTTGTTCATCTTATTGATCTCCAATGATCCTCATATTTATAGGTCAAATGACTTTGAAGTTAGGTTAAAATTTAGCTGTATTGGTCAGATGATAATTTGTATACCATTGTTCACACTATTGATTTTTTGTGTATTTTTTTCTTTTTCTTTTTTCTTTATTTTTTGTGCATTTTTTTCTTTTTAGAGTCACAATATGTGATCTAGGCTCATGAATTTTCTACACACACACACACACACACACACACACACACACACACACACACACACACACACACACACACACACACACCCCAGCTTATATATGTTAAAGTTTGTAGATCAACAAATGCCTGTCTATGATTGGTAAACCATTTACAGTGCTGTATCTGATCTCAGCTGGCTTACATACTTAATGAGCGACTTAATGCGTGTGGGGTTTATCAGGGGTTGATCAGTTTGTTAAATGCTATTTAGCCTAATGAAGGAAATTGTTTAGTAAAGGAAATATTTGCAAACTGTATTTTCCTACTTGTATCTCTCCAGCCACCATAATTGTGTTTTTTCCCCTTAACTGAATCCCTGAGCCTGAGAGTATATAGCTGAGAAGCAGCCAGAGCTGGGGGATTGGAGGGAAGGTTGAGAGTATAAGATAGAGGGGAATCAGAGGAGAGGGCCAGGCCTGGGGAAGCAGCATGAGATCATGGATCCATAGTAGATCCCAGCAAGCAGAACTCGGGCCCAGGAATATTGGACTTCGGTGGGAGTGATGTGAGAAGAGGACCCAAGGGAAAAAATAAGGAAAAATCGAGGTCACATCAGGAATCAGCTTACAGAAACTGAAAGAACTATGACACCACCTGGGCAGCTAACTTGGGACATCATAACAGAAGATCTTTGGCATTTCAATGCCAGTTGTGCTCTAGCCAAGAAGTTTCCTAGGCATTCCCTGTCAGGATGGGAACCAGGCCCAGGGTGTGGGCCCGGAGAGCCCACTTGTAAAAGCAGGTCATGGGTGTGCCTGCCTGGAAGGGAGAGGGAGGTGGCCTGGGAGGGTCCTGACACCTAAGGAGGGAGGTTAAGGACAAGTGGCAACACAGGCATAATCAGCACTTTGCTGAGCATTGTGTTTTCCATGACTCACAGGCCCTGGTTGTAACACACCCATCTTCTAGGCAGGAAAACCTCCAGGCCAGGGATGGGAATGAGTAAAGGGCTGTGTTCCAAATGATCAACAAACCTTCTGTCTTAGTGGGTTATTACAGCTCTGTTTTCATGTTTCTCTGCCCATGAACCCAGAAGGCGGAGTAGAAGAGCTTCTATAAAGGGGGTAGAGAGAGATGCTTCATTTTAAAAGCTGCTGAATAGTTTACATTCTGTATAAAAATCTCAGAATGAAATCTTTTTTAGGTTTTTCATAGCCACCGCCCTCCCCACCCCCACCAAAAGTAGGTCTTTTTGCAGAGGACTGCATTTGAATAAATAAGTGAAGATTAATTCATGATAAAAATGTAGCTTGTGATCATGTAAATAGTTTTGGTCTACATGACATATATATATTTAGATATTTTATAAATATTTACAGGCATGCATATAGTATAAATACCTATGCATATGTAAAAATTTATATTGCTTAGGAATTTCTGAGAATTATTGTTTTTAACTCCATGTTTTGATCCTTTTCTTAGATATTAGTACAAAATTACTTTGTTTTTGTTTTTATTTATTAGATCAATTTACAGGAAAGAAGAACTAATTAACCTTAAAATCTCATTTGTATCTTTTCAGACTCACTTCTAATCATACATCTATTTATCAATATATTTAGTTTTTAACTTAAATTATTTCTTGTATATTTTGGCATGTAATGATATGATTCACTTAGTGTTTATTTTTAATAGCTTTAGTGTATAGTGATGTAACATTGTGATTATAATTCTCTTATTCTTGACCGTTTGGGTCAATAATATTTTTACTTTTCATTACTGAAAATGTCATTGGTGTGAACATTTTAAAACAAATTATTTTGTGTTGTTTCCTTCGGCATTTTCCCCAAAGTGAGATTAACAAGTCAAGGGCAGGAACGACTTTATAGCTTCTGTTACATATTGCCAGATTGTTTTCCAGAAAGATTGAGCTAATTTGCTGTGCCACTATCAATGTATAATGCACAGTCCCAATTTTAGGTAGTTTAGACAGTCTGAGCGCACATGACAAGTATAATTACTTTTCTACCCCGAGGCCTAGCTGTATAGATAGCTCTCATAAGTAAACTCAATATGTGGACTTTGAAATTATAGAACTGGTAAAATGTAGAGCTAATCTGTTCTTCAGATTGTGGAGCCTTGAAGTTGGGGCTTCGGGGCTGGAGAGCATGCTGTGTTGAGGTGGAGTCCCCTTTTGGACAAATGTGGTACTGCAGCCCCACACTGTGAGATGTCAAGGCCAGAGCCAAGGGAAAGGAGCACAGTAGGTCCCAGCATTTCTACCAGAGAGGTACTCAGGCCTGCGAGGAGTCCTGGAGGGCTTCTTGGAGGTTGGGGGATGGTGGGGGCACTCTGCAGTCCCCGCGCAGCCAAGGAGAGGGGATGGCCAGTCGGGAGACCCAGACCACCAGTCACTGAGCCGTGTACCTCCTGGGTAGTGGCTAACTGAGGGCTTCCTTGTTGACATTGTCAACTCAGGGGTGTTGGGGTGATGTTTGTCCTGACAGTATTTTTAATTTTATAATGGAAGTTGATGGAGATTGCAGATTCTGTGGAAATCTACTCATTCATAAGGATATACTAGCCTAGTCTATAAAGGTTCCTTTTTTCTCCTTCTGCCAGGGCAAAAACTTAGACTTTTCCCTGAGAAATAAATTTCCCTCATTGCTCATGAATGCTGACATAGCCTTGTACCTTTGCCAGCTTCCACAGTGACTTGCAAAAATTCTATAACCTAAATACCAGAACACGTAACAGCATGTCCTAGAACTGGGCTGGGAGGGTATGGCAGAAATTAAACATATTCCACAGAACATGCAGTTCAGAAAGGCAAAAAGGAACAAGTTAAAAATGTTGATAAAATGTTTGATTTTTTAAAAATTAACATGTATATACACTTTAAAGGAAGTAAATTGAATGGATATTATCGTAGAAATTCCAAGTCATGAAGTTAAATGGAGGTTGAGATATAAAATTGTTTTAATTTTCAGGTCCCAAAGTAGAAATTAAGTATTGATGGGCAGAGAGAGTTAGGAAGCGCTCAAATGCCAGCAGTGGTAAGGGAGAGAAACACTTGGGCTGTCACATGAGATTTATTTACTTTTTACAGTTAATAGACTTTTTTTCTTTTTTGGTGGTAAAATATATATATATGTATATATATAAAACAAAGTTTGCCATCTTCATCATTTTTAGGTATATAATTCAATGGCATTAAGTACATTCACAGTGTCGTGCAACCATCACCACTATTTCCAAAACTTTTTCATTACCCCAAATAGAAACCCTGTGCTTTAGGGCTTTATTTTGTAATTGGTTATCTCAAAGTTTTTTTCTGGCTTAAAAAAAATGCACAATTCAAACTCTTTGTGCTTAACATTTCAACATACGCCGTATGTTTGGGGATTCTTCTAGGTACGTGTCACTTGTTCATCAGTTCATCCGTTTCCTTTCATCCTTCCTAATGATGCATGCTTGGTTGAAGAGGGTGCCAATCCAGGTAGAGGAGAGAGGGCTATTATTCTGTCAAGGGCATTGAGGAGCTGTGTCCCACTGCTGAAATCTCCAAATCAACTCTATTTGTAGGAGAACACGGGTAGTCTTACTTATTTAGTGTATTTTAAAATTTAAAAGCACTATTATTATTATTTTTAAAATTAATTTATTTAATCTATTTATTTTTGGCTGCATTGGGTCTTTGTTACTGTGCGTGGGCTTTCTCTAGTTGTGGCGAGTGGGGGCTACTCTTCGTTGTGTTGCGCAGGCTTCTCATTGCGGTGGCTTCTCTTGTTGCGGAGCACGGGCTCTAGGTGTGCGGGCTTCAGTAGTTGTGGCACACAGGCTCAGTAGTTGTGGCACGCGGGCTGTAGAGCACAGGCTCAGTAGTTGTGGCGCGTGGGCTTTGTTGCTCTACAGCATGTGAGATCTTCCCGGACCAGGCCTCGAACCCGTGTCCCCTGCATTGGCAGGTGGATTCTTAACCACTGCACCACCAGGGAAAGCCCCTGAAAGCACTATTATATTCTTTTTTTTTAACATCTTTATTGTAGTATAATTGCTTTACGATGGTGTCTTAGTTTCTGCTTTATAACAAAGTGAATTATATTCTTGACAGTTTAGAAAAAAATTTAAGAACTTGTCATTACTTTGAACACAAAAGCGATTACTGTTTTTCCATGTTTCTTTTCAGTCTTTTTTCACTTGCGTGTTTTTGACATAGTTGATAATGATGGATCTAACTATATACAAGTGACTTATTTTTTCATCTGGTATATCACTTACAGGTTTTTTATTTTTCATTTTGCTTAATAGTCTTCATAATAATAGGCCCAGGAATGCATGTAGCTTAATTTACATGACCATATTACTTTCTTTGACATTTAGGTTGCCAACATTTGTCACTATGACAAATGAACAACTTCAGACATCTTCTTTCTGTAGTTTAACCCCTTCATTTTGTTCTCATGAGAGGGAGACACAGAATGCTCACACGCATCTTGTTGGGGGTCATGGCTCTTACATTTTCCATGAAGATTTGCTACGATTAGCAGTGGTGTGTTTTTGTAGTTATGATAAACATCAGATGGATGACACATGTTTGATTTGGTTTCAGGTTGTGAAAATCTTAGAGAAGCATGACCCCTTGAAGAACACCCAGGCAAAATATGGGTTCATCCCTCCAGATGAGGCCAGTGCTGTACAGAACTATGTAGAACACATGCTCTTTTTGCTGATTGAAGAGCAAGCCAGGGATGCTGCCATGGGGCCAATCCTGGAATTTGTGGTCTCTGAGAACATCATGGAAAAACTCTTCCTTTGGAGTCTGAGACGGGAATTTACTGATGAGACTAAAATGGAGCAGCTAAAGATGTATGAGATGTTGATCACCCAGTCCCACCAGCCTCTGCTGCATCACAAGCCCATCCTGAAGCCCCTGATGATGTTGCTGAGCTCTTGTTCAGGAACAACCACCCCCACTGTGGAGGGGAAGCTGGTTGTCCTGCTCAATCAGCTCTGTTCCATTCTTGCCAAAGATCCATCCATCCTGGAACTCTTCTTCCACACTAGCGAGGACCAAGGGGCTGCCAACTTCCTCATCTTCTCTCTTCTGATTCCCTTCATTCACCGGGAGGGGACTGTAGGCCAGCAGGCCCGGGATGCTTTGCTCTTCATCATGTCTCTCTCTGCTGAGAACAGCATGGTGGCCCATCACATCGTGGAGAACACCTACTTTTGTCCAGTAAGTCCTTCTTGTTGGCCCATTTTCCACCCGCTTCTCTTCTCCTCTCCTGGGCTAATGACAAATACGTTTTTATTCCTTTCTTTTCAGCAGACTGTCCTTGGCACCTTCTATGGAAAGATATTTAGAGGAAATCTTTTGGAGGGAGCAGAGGAATTTAAGTTGAGATGCCATTCGGCTGAGCAGTGTCAGCTGGAAATAAGCCAACAGAGGAAGCTATATGTGTTACTGTTTCTTGGTTCATTTCTGTTGGGTTACGAGCTGTTTTAGTTTTTTCTAAGAACGTATCCTGAGCAGTTGGTAAAACCTGCTCTTCTTATATTCTTAGCTTTTCAGGTTGCTTCTGTGCCAATGAGTCATGGCATATGGTCAGACCCCTCACAGCTGGCTTCACAAATTAATTTGTTTCCCAGCAAGATAATGACCAAAATTGTAGATCCAAAGCACTGACTTTATTTTTTAAAAAAGGAATACATATTTACACTTTGAAGTAGCAAGAAGTCCTCTGTATAGTTTCTTTTTCTTTTAATGTTTATTTATTTAGGCTGTACCAGGTCTTCATTGCGGCACGTGGGATCTTTAGTTGTGGCATGCAGACTTCTTAGTTGCTGCATGCATGCAGGATCTAGTTCCCTGGCCAGGGATGGAACCCGGGCCCCCTGCATTGGGAGCGAGGAGTCTTACCACTGGGCCACCAGGGAAGTCCCTGTATAGTTTCTTAATAGTTGGTTGGTGAGAAATAAAGGGTAAGGTCTTTTGGAGATGCCCGAGTAGCCAGCCAGGCCCAGTCATAGTCCTAGAAAAGGAGCTGTCTGAGATTCTTAAGAAGCCTTAGGGCTCTGATTATTTTTTTGGTGTTATTTAAATGACAGATTTATATCTTCTCTTGGTTTGTCAAATGTTGGGCCACAGCTATTTTTATTTTCCTAAATCAGTGAACATTTCCGGTTTATTTCCATTATCTGTTCTTTGTACCAATCATCTCATTATGTTACTTTATAAACTGTATTGCCTTAAATATTCCTGATTCTGCTGGAATCGTGTGTTAAGACCATTAGTGAGTTTTATTAGAACAGGCTAGGCAAGTTGCCATAAGTAGATCAGATTCATTGTTAATTAACACTCCGTGGGTAGTTCTTGACCGGGGTGAGGGCATTTAGAAGTGTACGTGGGGTGTGTTTGGTTGGCAAGGGACACGGGGTCGCCTGGGAGGGAGGTCAGCTGGCATTTAGTGTGCAGGGCCCAGGGATGCTTAATGTCCAGTAGCTTGTGGAACGGTCACGCACAGGAAAGAACTGATCTGCTCTAGATGCTAATAGCAATCCTAGTGAGTAACATACTGTGTTTTGCTTTGAGGTTCAAAAGCAGTAATCTTCTTTATACTACTGAGTCCTGTTTTCACTAATAAACCAGAGTCCCCTAGTGTGTGGTGAATATTTATTTCAGGGGAAACAAATGAGTAAAAATTTTGAAAAATAGAATTTCAATTAAGTTCAGGGTGCCATGTATCTCTTCTCTTCTGGCTTCTGATCAACGGAATAAGAAATTGTATGAAGATTGAGAATCAAATGGGAAGTGAAGAACTGATTCCATTCATCTGTGCCAACATATTAAATCTCCCTTCCTTATCTCCTTCAACAGAATTATAAACTAGATTATAAACTCTTTTATTTTTAATTTTTATTTTTTTTGCGGTATGCGGGCCTCTCACTGTTGTGGCCTCTCCCGTTGCGGAGCACAGGCTCCGGACGCGCAGGCTCAGCGGCCATGGCTCACGGGCCCAGCCGCTCCGCGGCATGTGGGATCTTCCCGGACCGGGGCACGAACCCATGACCCCTGCATCTGCAGGCGGACTCTCAACCACTGCGCCACCAGGGAAGCCCCCTATAAACTCTTTTTAAAGAATATATCTAAAGGCAAAAATGTAACGTCTCACCCTGAATCTAAGCCTCTTTGGAGTACGTTGCTGTATTAGTTTTCTACTGCGCCTGTAACAAATTACCAAAAACTCTAGCGGCTTTAAACAACACAAATTATTATCTTACAGTAGTAGTGTTTTGCTGTAGGTTGGAAGTCCAGAAGGTCTCATTGGGCTAAAATCAGGATGTCGGCAGGGCTGTGCTCCTTTCTGGAGGCTCTTGTGGTGAGTCCGTTTCCTTGCCTTCTCCAGCTTCTAGAGGCTGCCCACACCCCTTAGCTTATGGCCCCCTCCCCCATTTTCACAGTCAGCAGTACTGTGTCTCTCTGACCATCCTTCTGTAGTCACGTCTCCCTCTGACTCTGCTCTTCTGCCTGCCTCTCCCATTTCCACAAGGACATTGTGTTTACCTGGATCATCCAGGATTTAAAGATTTTTAAGATCATCTCTATTTAAAGATCAGCTGATTAGCACCCTTAATTCCATCTGCCACATTAATTTTCCTTTGCCATGGAACCTCATTTGTTCACAGGCTCAGGAACCAGGCTATAGACAGGTCTGGGGGGACCATTATTCTGCCTACCACACTTGCCATATTCATTCAGTTTGGAGGGCTCTGAAGAGATTTGATCAAGAGCACAGCATGATCAAAATTCTTGTAGGAGTTTAATCTGACTATGTAAGTTTGGGAGTTGTGAAGGAAGCAGGGACACACATTAGGGTCGAGAAACAAGAGTGGCAGGAATGAGAACGTAAGAGAGGAGCTGGATCTAAGCAGTGACGTGGAGGCAGCAGCTCATTAAACAATGAGGCTTTTTTGTGCAGGGGCTCTGCAAAGGTTTGAGTTTGGGCTTACTTGAATTGTTTTGGGTAGTTCTGCTATTAAAGAAGGAGTGCAGGTATTAAAACAAATCATCAAAACATTTACGTGGTTCACCTGTTGAGTATCTACATGTCAATTTTAAAAAGGTACCATTGGACTTCCCTGGTAGCACAGTGGTTAAGAATCCGCCTGCCGATGCAGGGGACACGGGTTCGAGCCCTGATCTGGGAAGATCCCACATGCCGTGGAGCAGCTAAGCCTTGTGCCACAACTACTGAGCCTGCGCTCTAGAGCCCGCGAGCCACAACTACTGAGCCTGAGTGCCACAACAACTGAAGCCCGTGCACCTAGAGCCTGTGCTCCTCAACAAGAGAAGCCACTGCAATGAGAAGCCCGCGCACCACAACAAAGAATAGCCCCCGCTCGCCACAACTAGAGAAAGCCCGAGCGCAGCAACGAAGACCCAACGCAGCCAAAAATTAAAAAAAATAATAAATAAATAAATTTATTTAAAAAAAATAAAAAGGTACCATTCACAAAAGCATCATAATTTATCTTGAATAAATCTAACAAATATGTAAAAGGCCTTCACAAGGAAAATTATACAACTTTATCGAAGGGCATAAAATAAGATAGAAGCAAATGGAAAGCCCTGCAGTTTGTAGATATTGTGTAGAGGACACTTTTCTGCAAGTCAGTCCATAAAGTTAATGCAATTTATGTTTTACAACTTTTTATTATGGAAAAAAGCAAAATACAGAAAACTTGGAAGAATACTAAAATGAACACCATGAACACACCGTTTAAATTTAAAATTGTTAATATTTGTCATAATTCTGTATATTTATCACCTATGCCCTTTATTTGTTTTGCTGTGCCATTTGAAATTAAATTATAGACATCAGGTATTTTAACATGTATCTCCTACAAATAAGGACATGCTCCTGCATAATCACAATGCCATTATTACACTAAGAAAATTCTACAATAATTCCATAATATGATCTAATATCCAGTTTCCCAATTAGGCCCCAAGTGACTCTTTTTTTCGTTTTGGCTGCATGGCACGGCATGTGGGATCTTTGTTCCCTGACCAGGGATGGAACCCCTGCTCCCTGCATTGGAAGCGTGGATTCTTAACCACACCTGGGTTCCATCCCTGGTCTGGGAACCAGATCCCGCATGCTGCAATTAAAGATCCTGCACGTGGCAACAAAGATCCCGTGTGCCTCAACTAAGACCTGGAGCGGCCAAATAAATAAATTAATTAATTAAAAAAAAGCAAAAACACAGATTGGGGGAAGATATTTGCAACACACATAACTACAAGTGGTTGGTACCCAAAATATACAAAAATATCTGTAATACTACAAATTAATAAGAAAATGAGGAAACATGGGTGAAGGATACGAGCAGACGTTTCCCAAAAGACCCCAAACCTGATAAATATATGAAGATATGCTCATCTTCTCTAGCGTCAGGGAAATACAAATGAACCCACAATGAAACACCAGGTCATGGCATCAGAGTGGCTAACCATTAGACATCTGATAACACCAAGTGCTGTCAAGGGGGTGGAAAAACAGAAACTCTTGAGAATATAAATTGGTACAATAACGCAGGAAAGCCATATGGCAATATTTAATGAAATTGAATATTTGCATACCATGTGATCCTGCATCTTCACTTCTAGATATCTGCCTTAGGGAAATCTGGCACATGTTTACAAGGGTACATGCACAAAGATATTGTATAGCATTGGGGTGCACGTATCTTTTCGAAATAGTGTTTTGTTTTCTTTGTATAAAAATGGAATGAAATTTTGCCATTTGAAACAGCATGGATGGACCTGGAGGGTATTATGCTTAGGAAATAAATAAGAGAAAGACAAATATGTCTTCACTTATATGTGGAATCTAAAAAATAAAACAAATGAAGAAATATGACAAAACAGGAAAAGACTCACAGGTACAGAGAACAAACTCGTGGTTATCAGTGGGGAGAGGGGTTGGGGTCAGGGCAAAATAGGTGAAGGGTACAAACTACTAGGTATAATGTAAATAAGTTACAAGGATGTAATGTACAGCACAGGGAATATAGTCAATATTTTATAATAATTTTGAATAATCTATAAAAATATCAAATTACTATGTTGTACTGAAACTAATAATATTGTAAGTCAGCTGTACTTCAATAAAAAATGAATGAATCACATTTCACATTTATTAGCATGTAACTGCATCTACATGTGTGAACACC